GCAATGACTCCAGCCTTCACATCATATGCTGCCTGTCCATTTGGAGACTTATAAGTGAAGATCTCTTATCATTGTCTTCTCAAGCATAAATAGAGACAGCTTATTTAATGTTTTCCATGCTCTTTTCCTGTTTCTGTTCACTGAATTCTATCCAAATTTGGGGGCTCAAAATGACTGAAAATTATGGGAAATGGAGAAGAGGGTGAAGAGTATTAAAATATATTGAGTGCCTACTATATTTTAGGTATTGTGATAGGTGCTTCCTTGTACTTAATATCTTTTCATTTAATCCTTAAACAGCTCTGTGAGGGGTAGGAGGGTCCTATTGGGGGTTCCAAGGTGCCCTAGGCCTGGGAAAGATATGAGGGTACTCTGAAAAGACTCATCCTTTCTAGAAGTCTAGCCCCATACTCAATCCTGGAGATATCAAGAAGGTAGTTAGAAAGGAGGATCTATATGCTGCAACAATGGGCTCAAACATAGCAAGGATTGTGAGGATGATGCAGGACCGGGCAACGTTTCATTCTGTAATACATAAGGTTGCTATGAGTCAGAACCAACTCGATGGCACCTAATAACAAATAATCCTATCAGTTCTAAGTTCAGTTAGTTCTAATCCTTCACATGGGGTAAAGGGGGGAGGTGAGAGATGACCCAGAGAAACAAATCAGACAAGACTCTAGGTTCATATCTTGTTGGACTTAGAAAATGGGACTTTTAGGCATGTTTCCTCTGTTAGATATTTTCGTTTAAGTGTTATGGGAACAAGTTCCGGGGACATTAGAGAGTTCCATCCTGTCCTTTTACATATAGGAAGACTGAGGGCTAGGAGAGGAAGGGACTTGCCCAAGGACAAGCAGGAAGGCAGTGTCAGGTTCGGATTTGAAGCCAAGGTCCTGGAAATCAAAATTCAGTGTGTCTTCTCCCTTGAGCTCTGAAGGAAGTTAATGAAAGTTTACGAAGAAAACTCAGTAGATGTATACTAGGCTACTTTTACAATAGGGTTTTTCAAACTAGGATTTATAGACTTGGAGAAGGGAAAAGTGGGGCTCCCCTATCCCACTCTCATCTCTTCTTGGTTCCCTGCACTTTGCACATGGGGGATCTAGGTCAGTGACATTGGGTAGCTGAGAAAGAATAGAAGAATAAAAGTTTAGTGACACAAAGCCATTGAAAATAGCAAAAATTTCATCTTAGCTGAAACATTGCCTGAGAATACCTAGCACAATCTATGAAGGTAGATGCATACTACACGCTAATCATCCACATCTCCCATCTACTGGGGGAATCTTAGATAAGGCTCCAGTAATCTCCCATTACAACAATTATTAGGCCAGATTAACTGAAGAGATGAAGAATATGAAAGTTTCTGGGAGCATGTGAAGAGTGGGATCCCTAACTCACTGGTTGATCCCAGGCAGGTCAATTTCCATTTCTGACCTTCAGTTTCTCCATGTGCCAGGTACATGGGCCCTTCCAGTGCTAACATTTTATGGTTTTTGTCCAATCTTTCCTGTCTCAGTAAGTGGCACTATTGCTTAGGCCAAAAATCTAGGAGTCATCTTGTATGTCCTCCCTCTCTATCCATACCTCCATCATCCCGTGCCATGAGCTAATCATATCAGTTCTAAGTCTAATATGCTTCCAATCAGTCAATTTTTCTTCATCTCCATTGTTACCACTTCAATCATCTCTTTCCTGGATAAGTGCAATAGTCTCCTCTCCCGTTTTCCTGCTTCCAATTTTGCCCCAGTGCAATCTATTCTCCTCACAACAAGGAGAGTGATATTTTAAAAACTAGATCATGTTGCTCCCTTGCTTAAAACCCTAAATGGCTGCCTATTGTAATTAGAATAAAACTCAAACTCTTCACCATGATTTACAAGGTCCTGTTTGTCTCTGCCTACTTCCTCAGTCTACTACTGCTCCCCTCAAACAGAGCCCTGCTTTCTTTTATAAGCCAAGCATGTTCCTGCCTTAGGACCATTACACTGGCTGTTTCCTATGCCTTGAACACTCTTCCTCCAGATTATTGAATGGTTGCCTCCTACTCAGGTCTTTACTCCAATGTCATCTCTGAAGAGAGGCCTTCCCTGACCATTCTACCAAAAACATTCTTCCTTCTGCCACCACTCTATCCCATTATCCTATTTTAGGTTATTTACAGCTTTATCCAAGTTGCACTGAAGGCACTGGCAAAAAACCAGGCTTCAAGAATTGATGGAACACCAGTTGGGATGTTTCAACAAACAGATGCAATGCTGGAAGTGCTCTCTATGCCAAGAAATTTGGAAGACAGCTACCTGGCCAACCAACTAGAAGAGACCCATATACATGCCCATTCCAAAGAAAGGTGATCCGACAGAATGCAGAAATTAGCAAATAATATCATTAATATCACATGCAAGTAAAATTGTGCTGAAGATAATTAAAAAAAAAAAAAAAACAGTTGCAGCAGTACATCAACAAGGAACTGCCGGAAATTCAAGCCGGATTCAGAAGAGGATGTGGAACGAGGGATATCATTGCTGATGTCAGATGGATCCTGGCTGAAAGCAGAGAGTACCAGAAAGACACTTGCCTGTGTTTTGTTGACTGTGCGTGGGCATTCGACTGTGTGGATTATGGCAGATTTTGGATGGCACTGTGAGGAATGGGAGTTCCAGGGCACTTGGTCGTGATTGTGTGGAGCGTATGCATGGACTGAGAGACAGTTGTTCAAGCAGAGCAAGGGGATACTATGTGGTTTGGAATCAGGAAGGGTCGTATCCTTTTGCCATGCTTGTTCAATCTGTGTGCTGAGTGAAAGGTCTGAAAGTCTGGACTATATGGGGAGGAGCATGGCATCAGGATTAGAGAAGGACTCATTGACAGCCTGCAATGTGCAGATGGTATAGCCTTGCTTGCTGAGGGTGGGGAGCACTTGAAGCTCTTGCTGATGAAGATCAAAGACTACAGCCTTCAGTATGGATTACACCATAACATGAAGAGAACAGGAATCCTCACGACTGGACCAATGAGCAACCTCATGATAAATGGAGAAAATATTGAAGTTGTCAAGGATTTCATTTTGCTTGGTTCCATAATCAATGTCCATGGAGGCAACAGTCAAGAGAACAAAGGACGTACTGTATTGGGCAAGTCTGCTGCAGAAGACCTCTTTAAAGTGTTAAAAAGCAAGGATATCACCTAGAAGACTGAGGTGCACCTGCTCAAGCCATGGTATTTTCAATCGTTTTATATGCATGCAAAAGCTTGAATAAGGAGGATCAAAGAAGAATTGATGCCTTTGAATTATGGTGTTGGCGAAGAATATTGGATGTGCCATGGACTGCCAGAAGAATGAATGGATCTGTCTTGGAGAAAGTACAACCAGTATGCTTCTTGGAGCCAAGGAGGGCGAGACTTCTCTCATGTACTTTGGGCATGTTATCAGGACGGACCAGTCCCTGGAGAAGGACATCATGCTTGGTAGAGGGTCAGCGAAAAATAGGAAGACCCTCAATGAGATGGATTGACAGTGGCTACATCAGTGGGCTTAAACATAGCAACGATTGTGAGGATGGCGCAGGACTGGGCAATGTTTTGTTCTGTTGTATACAGAGTCGCTACAAGTCAGAACCGACTTATGGCACCTAACAATACCAATACAGTTTTGTCCAGTTGCTCTCGAGTCGATTCTCACTCATGGCGACTCCATATGTGTCAGAGCAGAACTGTGTTTGTAGGGTTTTCAATGGCTGAATTTTTGGAAGTAGTTTGCCAGGCCTGTCTTCTGCCTTTGGGTGGACTCGAACCATGAAGCTTTCAGTTAAAAGCCAAGTGCATTAATCATTTGCACCAAGCAATGACTTCGCTTGGCACACAGTAAGCACTTAGTAAATGCTTATTGGATGAATATGTGCCTATAGGATTAAGCACAAACTCTTTAGTCTAACATCAAGGTCCTTCATTATCTGGCTCCAAACAACTTTTTCTAGATACATCTCCAATTTCTCTTTCCCACTTCCACACCCCATATATCAACCCCATGCTCCAGACACCCTGGACCACTTGTCCTTTCCTTTCACCTACGTCCATACCTTAGTGTAGACAGCCCATCCTCCTCTATAGTCTGGCAAATTCCCACTAACCTCTTGAGGCCTATTTACATCTTCTCTGCTCCAATTACACCTTATCTATTACAGTATTAGGACACCGCCAACCAAACCAAATCCGTTGCCGTCGAGTTGATTCCGACTCATAGCGACCCTATAGGACAGGGCAGAACTGCCCCATAGGGTGTCCAAGGAGCGCCTGGTGGATTCGAACTGCCAACTTTGGTTAGCAGCCGTAGCTCTTAACCACTAGGCCACCAGTGTTTCCTATGACACCACAGTACACTGTAATTAATGAGTTACTTTTCTGTCTCTCCTACTCCTCAAAAGCAAGGACTTGCTTTTATTTATCTTTGCCTCACCCAGTGCCTCCCTCAGTACTTTGCTCATTGACTGGCAAAGTCTGAGCACAGTAACTTTGTTGAACGGATGGGTGGCTGGAAGAAAAAAGTCTGCCCTCCTCTGCTTCATCCAGCTTCTGCAGCCACCCCTCCACCCTCCTTTTTCTTCCCTTCCCCCGCCCCACCCTCATCTGAATGCCAAAGGCAGCAGCCAGAACACTCAACATCTCAGAAGCGAATTCTCCTACAGGCACTCTTTCTAGCCTCAAGGCATAGACAAATTAGCGACTCCTGCTAACCCTTTGGGCGGTGAGGAGAAGCGTGAGGGCCCCTGAGAGTGTGAATGGGTGTGCCTCTCATCTCCCCAGTTTTCTGGAGTTTTTTTTCTTTTTTTCGCGTATGGGCCAGATGAATACCCCCATTCTCTTGCGCTTCCCACTACCTTGGACATAATTATCTGTGACAAATTGATTTAACGTGCAGCTACAGGAAGGGAAACAGGCATGTCTCCCTTGGCCTTCTGGGAGTTGTAGTCCTGCAGGCTTCTGGGCTGCCTGGCTGGCCCAGGAGCTGCGGACTACAGCTCCCAGGCCTTCTTCAAGTCCCTACCGCACAAGCTTAGAGCCCCATCCCCGGAGGAGGTGGCTACATTGTGTCTATTGTATCCCTTATCTGGTGTTTTTGGACATTTATCGGGACCTGAAATTGAGAGTGAAAAGCATGGCTGATGAACAAGAAATCATGTGCAAATTGGAAAGCATTAAAGAGATTAGGTAAGTGGCACGTTCCTAGGCCCCCGATCCCCCTTTCACGCCTCCGAATCCGTCGCCGCGGGACGGGGTTGAGTAATCTCTTGGAAACTATCTGATGTTGGATGCTTGTGGGGAGAGGAGCGGGAAAAGGGCTCGTTCATTCACCCGGGACTTCAAGGTGAAGGGAGGATGGAGGGTAGGGGAGGGAGAGTCGAAATTGAGACTATAGTGGTGGGTAGAAATGGACACCTCTGACCAGATGTGGCCGAGAAAGCGCAGATGGAAATACAAGAGGCAGGTCCCAAGATAGCTTTTTTCTTCTTGGGGTGAGGGTCAGGGGCAGCATTTTTGGATGCATCTTTTTAAAGTACTTGTTGGCCCAAGATGTCTTTGACTCCTTGCTCTTTGGGAGTCGTCGAGTTTTTTTTTTCTTTTTTTTTTTTCAGTCTCCGGTTCGGCTTCAGGACCTGGAGCTCAGAGTTGCTCTTTGAGTGCCAAGTCCAGCGCGTCAGGGGCTGCCAGGGGCTGTGGGCCAGGGGGTGCGGAGGAATCCGGCGGGCCGGGGTTGGGGAAAGGCGCGCGCTGGGGCGGGTGAGTGTGTATATTTTGCTCTCACTCACCATTTTCTTCCTCTCCTGTCCTGCTCTCGGGAAGGGGGGTGGAGGCGTTGGGGACTGGGGAGGCAGGCAGTCGCTGCTCTTAGGTGCCCGATGTGAAGGGCCGGTCGGCGAAGTGGGGGCTGCCTGCGTCCCCAGCCCCGTTGCTCCAGAAGCTCCTTTGGCGCGGTGATGATGTGGCTCTTGCTCAGAATGTAATAGCACCCAAGCGGACTGACTGCCTGGGCCGGCACCAGGCCTATCCTTCACCTTCCTTCCACCTCCGCGGAGCCCCCGCCCCCGTCCCCATCCTCATTCTGATGATGTCCTGGGTCTGCCATCTCCGTGGAGTGTTTTCCAGGAACCTAGGGTGGGGAAAAGGAGCGGAAGATGGGGAAATATCAAATATCCTTTAAGAAACAAAACTTAGACCGTGAGATTTAACCCTTGAAGTGTGTGGGTGAGGCTCACACATGGTGGTGGGGGTGGGGAGCACCTTGACCTCTTGTCTTCTGGAGGGGCTGCTTTTCTCTTTTTTCAGGGCAGGAAAATAAAGTAACTGTCATTTATTGAGCCCGAAGACATGGGGCTTCCTATCCTCTCTTATAGCTGGGAAAATGGAAGCTCAGAGACTACAGGTGACTTGCCCAGAGCCACACTGCTTGAAAATGCCTTATCTGTCAGGAACCCAGTCAGTCCACCTGTAGAGGTCCTCCTCCTCCTACTCTGTACTGTGGAGGGGCTGAGGGAAGGGACTGGAAGAGAGGGTGTGTTACAATTTTTTTCTTCCAAAGTATCAGGAGATAGGGAGTGAGACATTCTGGTGCAGGAAAAGGTCAGCTGTCATAATAACAATACAGCTAGTAAGAAGCTTAAGCATGCAAGAGGAGAGCCTAGACTTCCACTCTCACCAGGCTTTAGAGGAGTCCCCCCTCCAGAGAAGGAGTATTGGGAGCAAGAGGGCTTTCATCCCTGATGTAAAGAGACTCTTCCCCCTTATGACTTCTACCTTCACCAGTGGTAACCAGGCATTCTTTCCTCTATTAGCTTGGGTGAGTTCAGCAGAGGTCTACAGGAAAGGCTGAACTCCCATCCCTGCCCAGCAGTAACAAGGAACCCCTCTCCCACCTGGATGTCAACCAGAGAGCCAGTGGAGAACCTGGATTTCTATCCCCACCTAGCAGTAAGGGGGTAATGTGCCCTTCCCCATCAGGAGGGTAACATAGGAGGCCTGATAAAACAGGAGATTAAAATAAGATCTGGAGTATCATAGCCTAATATCCAAAATGTCCAGGTTTTAATTGAAAATCACTCACCATACCAAGAACCAGGAAGATCTCAACTTGAATGAGAAAAGACAATCAATAATGCTAACACCAAGGTGACAGAGATGTTAGAAATATATGACAAATATTTTAAAGCAGCCATCATAACATGCTTCAAGGAGCAATTGAACACACTTAAAACAAATGGGAAAAAATAGAAAATCTCAACAAATAAATAGAAAGTCTCAGCAAACAAAATAAAACATAAAGAACAAACAAATAGAAAATTTACAACTGAAAAATACAATAACAAACAACCCAACCAAAAAAAAAGATCAATGAATAGGCTAAACAGCAGGATGGAGAGGACAGAAGAAAGAACCAGACAACTTGAAGATAGAAAAATATAAATTATGCAATCTGAAAAACAGAGAGAAATTAGACTAAAAAATAAAATTCAACAAAGCCTCAAGAACAGTGGAACTAACAGGGCTAACCTTCCTATCAGGAAAGTCCTATAAAGAGGTTGGACTGAAAAAGTACTCAAAGAAATAATTGCTAAAACCTCCTAAATTTGGCAAGAGACACATGCCTACAGATTCAAGAAGCTGAATGAACCCCAAAAAGGATAAACCCACAGAAATCCACATCATGACACATCAGTCAACGTATGAAAACTAGAGACAAGTAAAAAAACAAGAATCTTGAGAGTAGACAAAGAGAAACTATATCTTACATATGGGAGAAAGCCATTTGAATGACAGCACATTCCTCATCAGAAACCATGGAGGACAGATGGAAATGGCAGAGCAGTTTTCAAGTGCTGCAAGGTAAGAATGGTCACCCCAGAGTTCCATATCTAGCAAAAATATCCATTGGGAATGAGGAAGAAATAAAGACATTCTCAAGTTAAAGAAAACTGAGTTTGTTGCTAGCAGATCTACCCTAAAAGAATGGTTAAAGGAAGTTCTCTAAAAAGAAAGTAAACGATAGAAGAAGGAACCTTGGGATATCAGGAAGGAAGAACAACAGAAAGAGTAAAAATATGGTTAAAATACAATTTTCCTTCTTGATTTTTCTAAATCATTTTTAATGATGGAAGCACCAATATAAAGTTTAATGTGGTTCTCAGTGTATGTAGAAGAACTCTTTCAGACAATTATACAATAAATGGGGAAGGGTTAAGGGACGTAAAGGGAGGTAAGGTTTCTACTCTTCATCATATTGGTAAAATGATGACACCAGTAGATGTGATAAATTATGAAGTACAATACCTAGAGGAACCACTAAAAAAGCTATATGAAGAGATACACTCAAAACTATTATGATAAATCAAAAAAACAGAGATATAAATAACAGAGAACAAACAGAAAACACAACATAAAATGGTAAACTTTAGCCCTACCTTATCAGTAAGTACACTAAATATTAATGGTCTAAGTACACCAATTAAAACACAGATTAGCCAAATGGATTAAAAAACATGACCCAACTATATGCTGTCTGTAAGAAACTCAGTTCAATGTAATGATATATGTATATTGAATGTAAAAGGATGGAAAAATATATACCATAAGACATTAATCAAAGAAAAGCAGGAATAGATATATTAACATCAGATAAAGTTGACTTCAAAGAAAATTACTAGGTACAGACAGAGATATTGAAAAGAAAAATAAGTTGCCATTGAATTGATTCTGACTCATGGACATAACATTAGGAAAAAGTATCAGTTTGCCTAGAGGACATAGCAACCCAAAATGTGTATACACCAAACAGCAGAACTGCAAAATATGCAAAGCAAAAGCTGATAGAACTAAAGAAGAAATAGAAAAACCCACAATTATAGTTGGAGACCTCAACTCACCTCTATCAACAATTGATAGAAATAAACAGAAAATTAGCAAGGATATAGAAAAACTCACAACACCATCAATCAACAGGATCTAATTGGCATTTATAGAACACTCCACCCAACAACAGCAACAAACTATACATTCTATGCAAGTGCCCATGAAACATATACCAAGATAGACCATATTCTAGAATATAAAATAAACACCAACAACCTTAAAATAATTGAAATACAGAGTGTGTTCTCTGACATCAGTAAAATCAAACTAGAAATCAATAAATAAAAAATAGGAAAATCTACAAATACTTGGGAACTAAACAACATATTTCTAAATAACACGTGTGAAAGAGAAGTTTCAAGGGAAATAAAGTACATTGTACTGAATGAAAAGGAAAATACAACATTTCCAAGTTTGTGGAATGCAGCTAAAGCAGTGCTGAGAGGGAAATTTATAGCACTAAATGCTTACATTAAAGCAGAGGAAATGTCTCAAATCAATCATCTAATCTCCCACCTGAAGAAACTACAAAAAGAAGGGCAAAATAAACCCAAAGCAAGCAAAAGGCAAGGCATATAAATAAGAGCAGAAATAAATGAAATTGAAAGCAGAAAAACTGTAGAGAAGTTGATGAAACAAAAGCTGGTTTTTTAAAAATATGTATAAAATTGACATACTTCAATCAAGATTGACAAAGTAAAAAGAAGATACAAATTACTGACATCAGGAATGAAATATGATATCACTACAGACCCCACAGATGTCAAAAAGGTAATAAGGGTATACTAGGAACAACTCTACTCATGTAAACTTGACAAGTTAGATGAAATGGGCCAGTTCCTTGAAAAGATATAAACTACCACAACTCACCCAACATGAGATAGATAATCTGAATAACCCTGTAACTATTAAGGGAATTGAATTCATAATTGAAAAAGTCCCCAAAAAGAAATCTCCAGGCCCAGATGGTTTCACTGGAGAACATTTAAAGAATTAACACCAATTCTTCACAATCTCTTCAAGAAAGTAGAAGTGTAAAAAACACTTACCAATTCATTTTATGAAGGTAGTATTACCCTTATGGAAACCCTGGTGGCATAGTGGTTAAGAGCTAGGCTGCTAACCACAGAGGTCAGCAGTTCAAATCCACCAGGCACTCCTTGGAAACCCTATGGGGCAGTTCTATCCTGTCCTGTAGGGTTGCTATGAGTCAGAATTGACTCGACGGCAACAGGTTTGGTTTTTGTTACCCTTATACCAAATCCAGACAAACACAGTACAAGAAAAGAAAATGACAGAACAATATC